GTTCATTGCTTTGTCGGAAGATCCAGGAGGTAATTGTTTTCCTTTCCCATCTAAGTGACTGGGTTACTTGTTTTAAGGAGTCTGTTTTCAGTTACTACAGAAAAGAGCTCTACCATGACATTCACTCATAATGTGTGTTTGACATGCTGAACAAATGGCCGATCTTTTTGTTTATCTTGACTAGTATTTATGCTTCTTTCCTGAATCTGGCATTCATTCTGGACACTAATCTCTTGGAACTCTAATTATTTGAATGGCTTATGAATGATTTTGGTTCATACATCTGGTCTATTAGAACTCCTGATCGACTTAATCCTCTAGGCTTTTCTATTTTTAAACTATATGGAACTTTGGTAAACTGTTGCATTTTCTTGGAAAGTTTATCTAAAAGCAAAAAAAAAGTTTCGTTTGTTGGCAAGTTTATCTGAAGGAGTATTCATTCCTAACTGTAAAAAACTACTTTGAATTGTTAGTCTTACAAACTGTTTATTCCACTTGCTGTGCTATGCAGTGTGACCATAGTTGTTGCATATCTTATGAAGAAACGTGGTATGAGCCCATCACAAGCATTGGAATATGTTAAGAGCAAACGACCGCAAGCAGCACCAAACTCAGGTTTTCTTTCACAATTGCAAGAGTTCGAGAAATCACTTCAAGGTGCATAAATCGTGTAAACTGCAATTGCACTTGTCTTAGTCTTGAGCCTAAGGAAAAAAATTTACATGACAAAATCCCAAAATTGCACTCTGTTACTATCAATGGAACTCTGTGCTTATCAGAAAGTTTGTATCATCAGATTCTTGATCTCTTGGTCTTGTTGTCATCAAACATTCAAAAAGCATCCTCAACGTTGTAAAATTTTTCTAGAATATGTTTTGCAGCAGCTCGAGCAGAATTGTTCTCTATCGCACATTGCAGCCCCATCCTTATGACAGGTAATGAAAGCTCCCTGTGTATCTCGGCAAGTTCAAGAAATCTATCAGAGGAAGCTATATCAAGTCCTTTTCTCACCACTTTCTTGTCAGAAGATCGCAAAGTCTTCGCAATGCATCCGAACAGAAGCTCAGCATTGGATTGGTTGATTTCATTTATGTTACCAATCGCCATCAGGGCTTTGATTTCATTGAGTAGAGAAGACTCACAAATATGATCCCCACTCAGAATACCCTCAAAAATCAAATTGACCAGAGAGCCTTCCTTCTCCAAGAACCTTACCAAACACTTTTGTAACCAGGAAGAATAGCTGGGGTAAGCCTTGATTCTGTGCATGGGTATCAGAACCAGCCGGAGAAAGTGTGTCTGCTCTTCTCGCAGTGGCACTGGCCATTCAGGAATCCGATTGCTAACAAACTGCAACTGATTGCCTACCGCACTTGGTATGCAGCTCTCCCGGTCTGCGACATAACGAGACAGATTACTCCGCACAGTCCTCCAAATTGATTGCTGTTTCTTTGGGAATTTTGCCCAGAAAGTTGGCAGAAGGTCTGCCACAAAGCAAGCTTCTCTGTAGTCATCTGCTTGCACCGCAGTATTAAAAAACCAAGTAATAAACCCATCCTCAATATGTTCCTCACGCAACAACCCAGCATCAACAATTTTTTGGAGGAATTCATAGAAGTTTCTCAGATGGACCCAGGCCCCTTCAACCAGTGGCCTTTTATCTTCAGTATCATATAGATTTTCATTCTCTATCTCAGAAAAAACAGCAGTCTGAGAAGGAAATGGCCTGAAAAGGTTAGAACGGAGCATCTTCATGATCAAGCAGACTGCATCATCCGGCAGAGATTCAAGAGTAAGAACATAATCGCCCATTTCTTTAAGCATGCCATCCCTTTTAAATACTGTTTCGATCATGGCAAGTATTCCTGAGGAGGCAACTCCGCTCTGTCTGATGTCGGAAAGAGATTGCTTGGCCTTGAAGTGCTGTATGAAGGGCCTGAAGTGGAAAAATTCCGAGCAGCAGTTCAGCTTATCCATGAAGAGTTCATGTCTGTTTTCTAACGGAACGTCTCTAATTCTTGGAGAGTTATTATCTTCCATGTTTCAAAACAGGAAGAATTGTTGAAACCAAAATCTATCTCTGCAAGATTAAACCCCAATGAAAAACAAAGACAAAACCCTTAAAACAACAAAATCAATAAAAACACCAACGCTACAATTTTTTCTTTTCTTTATCAAATTGAGCTCAACTGTTTTTCTTCTCCTCTCACGAAATACAGAGTCGAGAAGGATAAATTTCGTCAAACTGCAATACATTTTATCAAGTTGAACACAAACCTACCCTCTTTTTCTTTTCTTATCTCTGCGCAGTTTTCTTCGGGAAAAAAACACAAATCCAAGAAGAAGGATGCAGAAGGGTACTTACATTAATCGAATTGAAATTAAACCCTCCTCCTTTCTTCAAGTTTATCTTTAGTAACAAGAAGCAGTTTTTCATGAAACATCAAAACATCTTGCCCATAATACACAAACCTTCAAATGAAAAGTCAAGAAACAAATGCAGGATCACTGCAATCTTTTCTTATCTTTATCAAATTGGACATAACTCTGTTTTTCACTACGAAATACAGAGCCAAGAAAAGAGAAATTTCATCAATATTTTCTTATCTCTGCGCAGTTTTCTCTGGAAACAAACACAAATCCAAGAAGAAGGATGCAGAACAGTTAGCAACAAGAGAGGGGTACTTACATTAATCAAATTGAAACTAAAACCCTCGTCTCCTTTCTCCAAGTTTTTCTTCAGCAACAGGAAGCAATCTTTCATGAAACATCGAGACATCTCTCTCACATAAGAATATACAGAGGAAAAGCAGGGTAGAATTAAGGAAAAGAGCTCAAGAAACTTTTACCAGAAACAGAGAGTCATTGAATTCGGGGTTACCACAGTATGTTTTTTTGTTGCATTTTGTAGAATTTATATTGATAGTGAAGACAGAGAACCGTTGGTGAAATTTGCGGAAACCGTTATAGGTTGTTATGGTGGAGCCACCACTAGAACTGGTAAGCCCTGTTCTAGTCTTTATGCCAAACTCCTCATGAGTAATCTAGATATATTGGAACAAACAAAAACATAAGAAAATGCGGAAAACATTTTCCGGCGAATATTTTCTGGCAACAAAACGCACCAAATGATAAATATGTACACTGAAAAGAAGAGATAGAATTCAGTTTTATACAAACACATAAGAGCTTGAGATTAAAAACTCAAAAGGCATGCAAAAACCGAAACTTCCAAATTCGAGAGCACCAACCTGCAATAAGACTATAGAGTTTTGGCAAGTATATCAATCTCATTGTGAATACAATTGGAAAAGCCAAAATTGACACAAGCAATGCACCTACAAGAAAAAATATCAGTAATCCGTACGTGAATCTAACAGTTTGAGAAAAAACTGGTGTAAGTTAGCAACCAAAAGCTCAACAGCATCATTAAAACATAAAATTAACTCAAGAAGAGACAGAGCATAACGATGAAAGTAAGAGACCCACCAGGGAACTCCAAATGGTCATACTGATATCAAATTCGAGCTTCAGATTAGATTAGTCCTAAACTCGAAATTAAAAGAAGAAAACATCTGAACTTACATTTTCCAAGTGAGAAGAGAAATCATTAGATTCAAAACTCTAGAAGCTCAAAATTTTTAGAAAGAATCAAGAAAACAGAAAAAATCAAAGTACCTGAACGATAAAGCTTTCTTCAACCTTGGTATATGGCACCATGAGCACGTAAAATGAAGCTATTGATCCCAACAGCAATCGTACACGACCGCCGGTGGGCAATTGTAAAACGAAAACTGAAAGGAAGAAACGATCTATGAAGTAGTGTGTGTATTCACCGGGGAGCTGGAGATATATAAGGTGGGTTGAAAAACACTGCTCCTTGGGCAACAAAATGGTATGAACTCTTGAAAAACACTTTCCTACTTGGCAACAAAAAGGCGTGGATTCTTAAAAGAAAAAAAAGGAATGGATTGAATATTATATTAATTACAAGTTAACACGATGCTGCCTCTGATAGGATGAGACGTGGAAAACAGACGAGTTGGATCGGGGTCGGATCGGATCGGGTTCAAGTAACCCAAGTGACAAATTATACGAATTGGATTGTTTTACAAAAAGGTATGGATTCTATATTAATTACATGTTTACGAGATGACTCTGATAGACAGGAACATTCACCTTTATTTTATAAAATTAAATTACTTAAATGCCCCTCATAGGATCTTTGACCTTCAAAGCTCCACGCTGAACGCTGCAACTTCTTTTTTTTTTCTCCCATGGTGGGTTTAAAACTTTGGAGAAAATTACTTTAAATTTACCACCTTCAAGTTTTGAACACATGATTTTAAATAATTTTTGTTACCAAAGCATCACCCTTTAGAACTAATATCTTTTGGTTAAAACTTTATTTCTTTTATTTTTTAAAAGAAAAGAATTGAAATATCATTAAGGGAATTAAACTTCCTCCAACTTTATCAAATTTCTCCACTTGACGTGAAGAAAAATATTATTGATTTTTATATTTAAATTCATATAAAAGTTGTTTAATTTATATTTTAAAGGTATAAATTAAAATGTAATAAATGTAG